ACAACACATCAATTAAAATTAATTTAAAGTGTTCTTATCTTTTATGATTTATTGACACTTTTTAATTAATGTGATTGTCCACTTCATCTGCCACATAAGGTGGTATGAAAATGTGGGATATAAATGTGGTAAATGTAGCATTACTCTTTTTTAAAAATGAACCTATTTTCTCTCTCCAAATAATGTTCCTATTTTTTTTTCTCTAATAATGTACCAAGTAAAACAATGCACGTATTTTTTTTAAATGAACCTATTTTTCCTCTCCAAATAATGTACCTATACACATTTATAGATATATTGTAAAATAATTTACCTATGGGTAAATAATGTATCTATATTTTCTATAAATTATTGTGTACCTATTTTTAATTTATGAAAAATGTATGAAAATTTCAATTACAAAGTAATTGGCTTAGTTTTTTTATATAATTTTTTTGGTAAATAATATACCTATATTTTATCTAAATAATATATTTATATTTTATACGTATATATTTATATTTATATTTTTCATAGGTACATTATTGGATATGTAATTTACAGATATCTTTTTTTGTTTGCAATTTTAGGGGGCGATATGTGAAAGGAAATGACAACCAAAAGAAATTGGGTGATTGATATGCTATTAATAGTAATAGGGAGTATTAATTACAATTATGGCAATTAATGAAATGCTTGAAATAAATTATAAATAAAATATGAAGTTTGGTGGCAACGATATAAAAACATAGGAATACTACGACTTCTTATATCCTACTGGTCATTTAGATTTGAAATTAGATTTTACACATAGATTTATATAGAGTGATGGGTATATGTCTAGGAAATAGAAAAATCTAGGGATCTATATTGGACAAGCCAAAAAAAAGGAAAAAAAAGATATGCCATGCCTGCAGAAAAGCACGAATTAAAGCATCAAGACAAGTTACCATCAGGGGTTTGTAACAAATAGAAAACAAAACAATTATACATTAGTAAAAAAAAAAAAAAGTAGCCATGCATGCAGATCTGAATAAAGATGTCAATACACATTTTTTTTGTAAACGGGCATTGTCATACGAATCACGATCTCATTGTAATCAAACCTGCATAAGATTGGCCAAGCTGACCATCATATGAATGTATTACAGGGACAGCCAGATAGATGTTCTTCAGGCTATTGCACATCATAGAGGAGCAGAGCAGGCACTTGTTAATTGTTAGTAATATGGCTTAAACCTCCCCTCCAGTAGCTGTTAAAGCAGCCCCTCCCACTACTACCTCAGTTTAGTAAATAATAGAATACTAAAAGAGTTATTCCGTCCATTGTGTCAGATTCCTAAACACCCACACTATCTAAATTTGTAGCCTAAGATGGTCGAGCATGCATAAAGAAACACACCCAAATCTCATTTACAACATAACAAAGAGGCTTAGAAATTTCTATAAATTACAAAATTGCCATCAATTTCTTAAAACAAAGAGCTCAACCCCAAAACACTCAGAGCATCAAAATTAAATTCAATAGGGCAAATTGTCATTTTTTGAGTTGTTTTTTGGGTTTGTTTATAGAAATTAAATGTTGTAGAGTTTATTTATATCATTATTGCTAAAAATAAGTATATAACTAATCTCTTATTGGTTTTCGGCAAGTCACCAGTTGAGAATCCGAAATGAAAATCAAAGTTCACGCATACCCCAAAAGCAACCAAATAAAGTGGCGAAAGTTTATAGATTAAAAGTTCGAAAGTGGCATAAAAGCAGTAGTAGTGCTAAGAACTCACCAAATAGCAGCCCATTTTTAAAGCCTCATCTTTCCGTTTCTTCTGTGAGTAGATTTTCAGTCACTGTTGCAGAGGTCCACCTCCAAATTTTTGTATATGGAAAAAAATAAAATAAAAAATAAAAATAAAGTTATCATTTTTCTTTTTCTTTCTTTCATTTAACAAGAGGTGATGTTTTATTTAGGATGTTGTTACATGAACCCTAAAATTAAGTAAGTACACTTTAACAAAAACTGGTAGGCATAACATAAGATGAAGTGGAAACTAGTAGGAGTTTTTCATACCATTATCATCTCTAACAGAAAGACTGTACATTTGCTGATGAAGGGCATATACTTATTGTGATATATTGAATTGTGAAATAAATACTCGATAAAAATGAGAGACCTTTATGTGATTTAGCTTTCGAATGAGTTTAGTGTTGTGTGATAGAGTGTATTAGGTTGTACCATTGATATTTTTAGTAGTTAAATAGGGTACACTTAATTAATTTTATATTTCGATTTAAATATTAATGTGTATTTAGATTATAGGATGTACTCAGTTAATTTTAGGGTTCGTTTAACAACACCCTTTATTTATTTATTTAGACCCGGCATTTACTGCCTATTATAAAGCTCGACTTTTCCCAATTCTTTCCCTCCAAACTCACATTAAGCCCTAAAAAAATTGCTACTCTGAAAATTCCTCTCCGTCATTTTCTTTCAATCTTTCTCATCGTTGAAAATTGATCCTCTCCTCTCTGACATTTTCAATCTCTCTCATAGTCTCTAAAATCTCTCTACGCCATGTTCAGTCTTGATCCCATGGATGTTTATGAACTCGCGAATCATGACCGCTTTGTGGTTCGAAGATCCTTGTATCTAACCAAGGACGAGTTTGATGGTTTGATTCAATTATATCATAAGGAACAGATTTTAAGAAACTACTAGAAATTTTTTTGAAGCTGCACTTTTAACATCCACAACTTTATGAGAGTCGACAAGCACATCTCATGTCTGATGGCTCGCTTGCGCCATGCGAACAAGGTAAAGCGACATCGATATCGCGAAATCGACAACGACATCGATATCGCGAAATCGACAACGACATCGCCATTACCATTACTTGTCACTTGGACCTGGAAGCTGTGATTTCGCTCAAGAAATCGAAAGGGGATTGGAATCAAAAACAGTTTTTGATTTGATCTGAATAACCTGACTATGCTGATCGTGTCCAAGAGAACCGGAGGATGAAAAGAATGGTGTTTCGATCCCATCTGAACTGCACAAGATCACCTCCCAGTTGGATGCCAATTCTTCGAAGCTCACCAGGGTTATGGTTTTCTCGATTCTGGTTATCCTCCAACATCCCTTCACCACAACCATCCACATCCCCAAAACCGTCCACATATAACAGAGGGAAGAACTATAGCAATTATACTTAAAAAATTGAAATAGACGATGGTTGCAGGTTGAACTACATATTATATATTTATATATATGTATTAAATATCTATTATCTTTGCTTATGGCACTAGATAAGCGTGACTTACAAACTAACATGCGATATACATTTTGTACAAGACTAAAAATCCCACTGTTCGTCGACCACAATGTTGCATTGGTTATCACCAGTGTTGCTGATTCTGGTGGACTGGAGGTCGTTGAGTAAGTCCATTTGCTCAGGCGTTTCTTTTGGTGGAATTGCAGTCCAACTAGTGAGTGATACAACCGAAAATGTTCAAGAATTCAATTGCAGTTGATCAAGAATTACTAGGGTTTGATGTGTTTGTGATTAGACTTGTTTTGGGGTTTAGGGTTTAGAGGGGTCAATAGATTGTGTAAAAGAAAAAGAAATACTTGTTTTGGGGTCATTAAGATTGTGCAGTTCATGCAAAAGACAACCGAAAGTTACTTGTGTTTTGTTAAGCGTTCCTATTATATGTAAATGATCCCAATGGAAATTCAGCAATGTGAAGTGTACCCAGATTTACATGAATTTTATTTCTTGCAATATGTTACCGTATGCAGTCCACCAAAATCATCAGCGCATGTGCAACCTAATTACAAGAATAGGTTTTTAACTTTTGTTATCCAATAAAAATGATCACCTGCATTGGAGATCATAAGAAATTCTTGCAGTCGATTTGGGGAAGTAATTCAAAGCTTAATCAAACACTTGGAGAGCTGGTGACAAAATGGGCTAATTTAGTGGTCATGTGCAAGGCATGTGATCACTTTTAATTATGATTATAATATATATGGATATGTCCTTACTAAAACACACCACTTGTAACAATGGTCAAAGTTCATGGACCATCGGCATAAATTTTTTCAAAATTAAAAGACTATTTTTCTGAAGGAAGCTAAGATTGGGCCACTAATTTTTTCTTTAATTACCAGAAAAAATAAGACCCTGGTTTGTTCTTTTGACCTCTGCATCATATATGACGACATCACCTTTGGCATCTATTCATATATCATAAGTTTCTTTTCATAGTTACATGAATTTAATATTAGTGTGCTTGTTTAAGCAAATAGTAGGAGAAGAGAGAATGAGAAAAAGCGTTTCAACATTCAAGAACTGAAGGCTTTCTCGGCCGCATACATGGATATCCATTAAAAGGTCACCATTATGCTTCAATTAATTATATGATTAGCAGAAACAGTTTGAGCTTTTTTCATTAATTAAATGGGAATTTGAATGTGACAAGATGAATGTGTTCTGTAGCATAAGATAAATGTGTCAGCATGGGATCTTCTGTTTTCATCTCCATGGAACCAGGTCATTTGGATTTGTCTGCTCATATCCAGTTGATATTTCCAATGTTTCTTGTTTGATTCGAGCAACTGAAAGATTGAATGAGCAGAAATTTCGGTTTTTTGCCTTTTTTTCCTAGATTGATTCTGAGCATTTCTTTCTTGTTTATAAAGTCAAGTTTGGGGAACAGGTTTGTCTCATTGCACTATGACAAGCTCTATCCATCTATGCCTTGCTTCTCATTCCCAAACCCTAAAATGACTTGCATCTATTCTTGTTTGTGGCCTTTTGCACTGGTGTCCATGTTGTTAGTTGCTATGTGCAGTTTCTCAGGCATGAGCATGTGCCATCATCATATTGATAGTCATATGTTGCTTCTTGTTTCAGGTTTTGGGAGAGAATGTTTGTTGCTAAATTGGATGCTGCTTTCTTTGCTTTGCAGATTGCTATGATCCTTTGGACCCAAATGGAAACTTTACGATTATTTTCGACACTTATGATTGGACAGATGACGGCTATTTGGTTAGCATGCTGTGATTCTGCTCAAACCTTGATGTTGTTTGGTTCAATTATATCACCAGGAACAGATTTTAAAAAACTAATAGAAATTTTTTTGAAGCTGCACTTTTAACATCCACAACTTTATGACTGCCAAATATTCTGAGGCAATTGGAATCCTGTTAAGCTCATACTTTCATCATATCAGTGTACATTTGTGTAAACCGTATCTCCAAAACACCAATTTTCTTAGTACAAAGCCTTTATAAACTCTGTTTTTTTATTAGGGAACACAATTTTTTTGGGAATTCTAAAAAACGTGCACATTCAACATCCCATTGAAGATTTCATCATCTTAATCTTCTTAGTTAGACTTTGTTTGCACACTCCTGCCTGTCCAACGACATTTATAGTTGTTCTGCACAAGGCTGAATGTGTGAACAAACTTTGGAGTGTCACTTGTATGTTTTTTATTATGAAGACTTGAAATATTTGTGAGCAAGCCTATACACAATATGCAATTACTAACAGAAACTTTTGCAGGCAAAAGTAACCATCCAAAATTTATTTCAGTATCGTCACGTGGACAAGCCTGGTTGGCAGATGGGGTGGATATGGCAGCAGAATGAAGTCATTTGGTCAATGAATGGTGCCTTTGCCACAGAACAAGGAAACTGCTCAAACTACAAGACTGATATACCACACTCCTGCAAGAAAGATCCTGAAATACTTGATCTCATGCCTGATGCTTCCTCAGATAACAAATCCGAAGACTGCTGCCGCAGTGGTGTTCTTGATGCCCTGGCTATCAATCCCTCCAAGTCTTTCTCTTCTTTTGGAATTAAAGTTGGCAACTTGGGAGGAGGTCCTTTTTCAGGACTTCCACCTCTGAATCTTACTCTGAATGCACCAGGTCCTGGTTACACTTGTGGGCCACTTAAGAGTGTTGATCCCACAGTTTCTTTAGATTTTGGGGGTAGAAGACATCGCCAAGTTTTCAGTAAGCACTTTAACCGATACATATATACGGAAATGTTCTCTTGTCATACCGTTTGGTAACGTAAAACCAATTTTTCAGACCACAAGCAACAAAAGTATGTTAACAAAACATTACCCTATGTATGCGTACTTATAAAATTGAGATTTTCTCCTAACAGTGTGAATCATAACCGTTGATTATATACAGTTATGTATGAATGTGGTTCAGATTCACAGTTCTGACATACAGTTAACGTATGCTACTTCGGGATTCTTTTTCTTACTTTGTTGGATGATAGGAAAACCTTTGATGTTAACATTTCATCAATTACTTGTTTGCAGGAACATGGAAAGCAATATGCACTTATTCCAGTTTTTTAGCTAGTGGGACTCCAGTCTGTTGTGTTTCACTCTCTTCATTTTACAATCCTGAGATCACATCATGCCCCAAGTGTAGCTGTGGATGTAGAGAAGTAACAGACAAAAACTTCGGTACATGTCTAAGGTTGGGCTGCTTTTTTTTTTTTTTTTCTGCATCCATAACAGTGAGAGCTGCTACTTATGTAAGTTAATTTGAACTCAGCTGATCCTCTCTTTCTTTCTCTGTCTCTTCCTCTTTGTGATAACAGGCCAGCTTACCCCTTCCCAGCAATGTCACTAACAGGGGATAATTCAGGAGCTAATTTTATGGGTGCTCTAGACCCGGTGAAATGCACAGATCATATGTGCCCTATTCGAGTTCATTGGCATGTCAAGACCAGCTATGTGGATCACTGGAGAATTAAACTTACAATCACTAACTACAACTATCAGAGGAACTTCTCAAACTGGAATGTACTGGTCCAGCACCCTGGTCTCTCCATGAATCCAATAACATATAGTTTCAACAGCACATTGCTTCAGCCTGGCTTTAGAGGTACTTACTCTATTTCATATCTGTTGTTCAATAACGTGGGAAATACATGGAAGAAATGTTGAACATAATCAACTTGGTTGTGTAGATTAATCTTTAGTAGAAAGGATAATGTAACTTTAACTGTTACAATCCAATGAAGTGACCCAATAAACCCTTACAACTCTTTTCAACTCTCTCAAATGGTGCAAGGCCTATCCGAACCTATAAATCTCGTGTGAGAAAGTTGGGAAAAGAGTTGGGTCCGAAACTAGACTGTCGGCGACATAAGCTCGTGAATTTGTACGTACCATTAGGTTAATTGTATATGTGATCGTGATTCACAGTCTGACAACATGAACACACATGTCCTGGTAGTCTAGCAACACAAGTCTGAAATGGAACAATACCCTTTATTCTATTACCACTGTGATTAAATAAGTTCTAGTTTCTCAAACATTGGAAACTGTTGCAGACGCAGTTGCCCTCTTCTGGGGTATAGCCTTTGTTAATGAAGAGCTGATTGCTACTGATGAGGATGGAGTGGGTTCAGTGTCAACAGAGATACTTTTGGAAAAAGACTCAGAATCATTCACATTCAAAAATGGATGGGCTTTTCCAAGAAGGGTATATTTCAATGGAGAAAACTGTGAGATGTCCTTACCAGACACTTTCCCAATGTTACCAAATGGCACCTCCAAAACACAACCACCAACACATTGGCTCTTCCTTCTTCTCATCTTTTTTATTTCCCAAACCCTACTTTTACATGCCCTTTGAATTTGAAATCTGATCAACTTACCCCACAAGCTTGCTTTGAGTGTTTTCCCCACAATTTTAAAGCCATTTTATTCCCCTGTGGTCTTGAACTTGATGGTTCTTATTGAGTACAAATTCTTAACTTTCTAAATACATTGTTTGCACAGTATATACATGAATTATAATGTATTTGCAAAATTTTATTTTGTTTTTGTTTTTTGGGCAGATGTACAATAATTATGTAACTGTTTGATGCGAATTGGTGTTGATAATCACAATGTTGATCATACATATTTGTCATAATCTGTTGAAAGTCTTCATTAAGATGATATTGATTTGATAAACTTGATCTTTATTTTACTCCATATGATCTAATTAGTGTCCACCTCAGCTAGTCTTTTTCCCTTTATTATCAAAAACCCGTATCGTATCAAATTTGCCTTTGTGTGTAAATTATCATAATATCTTTTGACAAAAAATTTAACAATGCCAAATTTATGTCAACAATTGAGGCATCACTTCGGGGACTTCTCATACAAAAATTTCGTGACACCGACACTCGTTGAAAATCATTTGCCACTCAAACCGTCGGCAATTTAGATTGCCACTCAAACTATATATGATATTATAGTTGACTTGTAAATCCAATGTTCAACATTGTAAAGTACTATTTGATTCCATCATGAAACATGGCTTGTTGTCTTAATTTGTTTGATCAACAAACCAAGTAGACAATAATAATTATTATTACTTTGTTTATTTTAACAACAAAAAAAACCCCACAAAGAAATATCCCTGAAAAGTTGAAACCGTGCTGATTAGAACACGTGGACCAATGCCCTCTAATCATAGATCAGCGTCACCAATCAACGGTCAGCGATCCAATTCGATGCAATGCCTTCTAACTTGTTAATTACGGAATTGTCCTCACCCTCTGCCCCGTCTTCTCTAGTCTATCAGCCGTAAAACAAAGTCACACTCTGTTTGATTCAGAACTTAAATTCTGTTTGGTTGGCAAGAAAGAAAATCGGAGAGAAAACAAAGGAAAATAATCCAAAAAGAAAAAATTATGTCTCCTCACGGCGACAAATCGGACGCTGCAGAGGAAGCCTTGGTTGCTGAAACTGAGAAGCGCCCCATTTCCACCATCCTCATCGTCATCGGTACTTTTTCTCTTTTTCTTTTCCAATTTTGATATTTCCACTCTCTCTTTTTCAGATATTATTACGATGTTTTTGAATAAAAATAGTGATATTTCCAAGTAACTTAACAGCTATGCAGACTGAAGCTCTTCCTGTGGTGAACAAGTTCAACCTCACAGAGGACCCTGACTCCGTGTGAGTTCATCTTCTTCTTTCATCCTCAAGCTTGAATCTTTTTATGTGCTACTTTCAATTTTTGGAAAATGGTTCCTTTTTTTGGTTTTGTTTGTGAATTGCCCCCATTACCAAACACGACCTTGGTTCAAAGTTCTTGCTTTGCAAACTATATTCGTCTTAACTGTGGCTGGACATGGCCTTGTTGTGCGCAATACACATGTTTTGTTGTGGCATGCTCTTTGTGATTGTTACATTTTTTTGTTTCCTTCCATAGGCTATCATCTTGTGTGCAAATATGGTTTATTTCTTTGAAATGTGGAGATCATCGTTTAGAATTTTGAGCATTATATATCGGTTCAAAGATTTTAATTACTCAGTTGGTTTCCATTTTTTGATATGTCAATGTATGAATGACGCAGGTTCCCAAAAGGGGTCCCTTGGGTCCGGTATCATGGGTTTTACAAAGATCTTCATATTAATTTAGTTTGGCCTGGAAAAGATTCATCTTTAGGTGAGTTTTTGACTCTCATGGGTTTTGATTTCTCTTGTCAGGAGATGTAGAAATAATTTGTTATTATACTTCCCTTCATTGTCTATGACCTTGTTATATCTCACCAGGACATTATTGAAAGGGTTTACATGGTTATCAGACTTAAATGTGATATAGGATCTTTAAGATTCTAGAACTAGGCTGCATGAACTTAAGGATATTTGTGGCTGGTTTAGTGTAAAAGGTTTGAACTTTTCTGTTTCAATGGGTATATAAAAGAATAGGCTTTCAGTATGCTAGGGATGGAATACTGCTAGTGTTTGAATTGCCACTCCTCCTTCAAAAGCCTCATATGTTATGGTTGTTTCTTCCTTTTGGTCGCTATTGTTTAATTAGAGCACAAAAAAAGTGGTTTTTGTTTCATTGTCGTGTACCTCATCCTCAAATTTTCTTTCAGGAGTTGATTGTGTAGGCACAGTTTCTGCGTCTCTTGTGGCCTATGCTGCCATTCAAGCGTTACAGCCAGACCTAATTATCAATGCAGGCACTGCCGGTGGCTTTAAGGTATTACCAACTTTTCTCTTGTTCTTGTACAAGAGGAGTTCAGCTCCGTTTTCATTATTCTCTCTCATTTGAATATTAATTGGAGAAGTTGTTAGTATAAGGAAAATGTGGAATCCTCTTCTTACAAAGGACAGTGAAAAGTTTGAGGATTGAACTATTGCATTGCAGGGACCATGATATTAATAAGGAACTATTTATGTACACATACGAACTACTATTTATGTATGCGTTCTTGTGTACACACACACACACACACGAACTAATTGAGTATGAAATATGTGGACGGGCAGATGTGTGAAGCATCTTGACATATTGCGTATAACTAATTAATGTATATTTTCAGGCCAAAGGAGCAGGCATCGGTGATGTGTATCTCGCATGTGATGTTGCTTACCATGATAGAAGGATACCCATTCCTGTGAGTGTTCCTTTGTCTTTCCATTGAAGTACATTTCATGCGTGGTCTATAATTTATTGGAAGATCTTAACAGTTTAGCCATACCCCTTCTGATACTTCAAACATAGAATTGAAAGTTGACGCCACTAGAATTGAAGATACAATATATTTTGCTAGCTGATGGAAATAATGTTTCTTTAAAGAACCACTTTCCTGCTTCCTGCTTCCGCTTAGAAAATTTCTAATCAGTTATTCTCTATCTTGTATGTCTTCTACAGATGTTTGATCTATATGGAGTTGGTTTACGACAAGCCTGTGTATCACCCAATCTTCAAAAGGAACTTAACCTAAAGGTAATTATCATGCAGCAAAATGCATGGACTTATTTAAACACTTAAACCCTTCTTAAATTGAATAGCGTCCGAACCATTTGATATATTGTTGGTCACTTTTAAGTTTTAAAATTGGAGTTCTCCATTATCTAGACCAATGCACTTATGGTACGGATGTGCATTACTATGATACTTGGGTTTCCTTTTGTTTGTATTTGATAGCTTCACAAGTGTTGGCAATGTCATTTATGGTTTCCCTCATGCTTCAGGTTGGTAAACTGTCTACCGGCAACTCTTTAGATATGTCCCCGCAGGATGAAGCATCGATCATCGCAAATGATGCTACAATTAAAGACATGGAGGTAACCTTAGCATTCTTCTTAGCATTGATTAGAGTATCCCTGCTTTTTCCTGCAAAGAGTATTGAACCTATTTGCATCTCTTAGACCTAATATTGGATAGCTGCAAATTTGGTCCTCTTTATACATTGCCCAACAGTCATTTTTACTTTTATCCAATAGTCAATTTTACTTTTTACTTCTATTAAAGCAAATTTCTTTTGCTGAATTTTTTTTGGCTTTCAGGGTGCTGCTGTTGCCTATGTGGCAGATCTGTTGAAAGTCCCAATCATATTTGTTAAAGCTGTGACTGATGTAGTAGATGGTGAAAAACCAACTGCAGAAGAATTCTTGCAAAATTTGTCAGCAGTAACTGCTGCTCTTGAAGAGAAGATCACCCAAGTTATCGAGTTTATTAACGGAAAGTGCCTCTCTGATCTTTGAAGCATTGCGTCCAAACTTAATGAAACATTTATGTGATATTAGCATGTCCCAGGACCGCGGTTGATTAGATATCTACAGATTTTGGTAATACCTTATTTGAAAGGCCCAACAGCAACAGTTCATAGTTTGTGTAACTATATTTAAACAGTATTTCCAGTATTTCCGGTGGTTTAATCACGTGTTCTCTTTTGTAATTTAAAAATATTTTGTGATAATGTGTCGATATCATTCTCGCCAATCAAATATACCTACATGTTATTTAGGGGTGGTTGCGGTTCGGTAACTGTGAATTTTTGCCCAAACCACAAACCGACCGACTATTTGCATTATAGTGATTTGGTAAACCGCAAAAAGTGGTCGGTTACCGCGAATTAGCGGTTTAAAACCGCAAGTTCTCAAGCATTCACAAAAATATAAATTCACAACCTAAATAAATAAATACACAACCTCAACTTCTCAAGCATATATAAATTCACGATCTCCTCAACTTGTTAAGCATTCACAACCTAAAGAAAATTAAAGTTACAATTCCAAGCATTCTAATTAAAGTTAAACTTCTCAAACATTCCAAATCCAAATCCTTTAAAGTTACAAACCAAAAGCAAAATGCAAAACAAAATGAATTAAAGTTACAACTAAAAGGAAAAATTCAATTTAAAGTTAATTAAAGTTACAAACTAAAAGAAAAATGCAATGCACCAATGTTACAAACTCAAGTGTTGGTGGTGAGTGGATTTGAAGAACTCCGTTGTGTTGTTTGAGCACCAATGCTATCTACAAATAAAATAACATAGTTTAGTACATTTTATTATAAGAAATATCAAATAAAACAACATAGATTGACTATACTTTGCGGTTTGCGGTAACCGCAAGTTTTGAAAATTAAATACCGCAACCGCAAATGCGGTTCGGTTCCTCCCACGATTGCGGTTTCATTGCGATAAATAATCGGTTGATTTTTGCGATTTTTCGGTCTAAAATGCCACCCCTAATGTTATCAATACATTTTCGACGATGCGCATTCGCTCTTTAAAGAACACAACTTGCACAAAGAATTTCTAGTTTGTTACCTTTCAAAAACTCAATGCAAGGAATAACGGAATAATTTTCTCATATGCTTTTTCAGTATCCTAGCTGCTTGCTATTATACAATTATATTAGAGAGTATAAGTAGAATATTCCTGTGGATCGTATTGAAAGTCATCATGTCAACCTTAGAGTATACTCCGTACTCCATAGTCGTACTCAATGACCTTACTTGTGAGCGTGACCCCAAGGGAGAGCAAAGAGAATAGACCAAAAATAAAAGATTAAAATTAATTTTAAATATTATAGTTTTTAGTTTTCAAAGAAAAGTTTTAAAGGTGAAAGTGAGGACGTATGAATTGATATATGAAATTTTAAGCGGAAATAACTTGTTAAAAATACAAAAATAAAAACTATAACTATTCAAAAATAAAAAAATAAAAATATACACATGAATCAAACTCTTATTTATTTACAAGAAGGAACTTAATATAAACAAAAATGATTGGCACCAAACAGTATGATGTGGCATTTGGCTGATGTGTCGTATTACCAACTTGCCATGTGGCACTGAAGAGTTCAGTGAAGGACACGTGGCAAGGGTAGAGTAAGAAGAGATTGACACATAAGCCCCAGGTACACTTGGCTGCTTGGCACCAAAACCAAAGGCCTCTTCTTCTCTCTCTAGCCTCTCAGCAGTAAAACCAAGTCACAGACTCACACGCTTCTCTCTTGGTTTGATTGCGAGGGAGAGCATAACATTTTCTGTTTGGTTGGCAAGAAAACAGAAAACCCAGAGAGAAATCAAAAGGAAAACAATAAAATAAAAATGGCTCCTCATGGCGACAAATCGGACGCTGCGGACGAAACCATGGTTGCTGAAGCTGAGAAGCGCCCCATTTCCACCATCCTCATCGTAATGGGTACCTTTTTTTTCTTTCCCATTTTGATATTTCCACTCTCTCTAGTTTATAAATTCCACTCTTCTTCAGCTACTATGACTAGTTTTCTTGGATAAAGTAGTGATCTTTGCAAGTAACTTAACAGCTATGCAGAGTGAAGCTCTTCCTGTGGTGAACAAGCTTAACCTCTCAGAGGATCTTCAGTCTGTGTGAGTTCATCTTCATTCATTTTCAGTTTATAATCACTTTATCTGACTTTGATCAGCAAAGTAACACATCAAATAAGAAATGACCTCATGAATTACCAAACACAATCTTTAGCTGAAAGTACTTGCATTGCAAACTATACACCACATGTTTAATTTAATTTTTAGAATTATAAGAGCATTATATGATCTGCTTAAATTTTTTTAATTAATTTACTTGTGTGGTTTTCATTTGTTTGATTATTTGATATGTCAATGCGTTAACAATGCAGATTCCCAAAAGGGGTGCCTTGGGTCCGGTATCGCGGTTTTTACAAGGATCTTAACATTAATCTAGTTTGGCCTGGAAAAGATTCATCTTTGGGTGAGTTTTTGAGTCCTCTGAGTTTGGATTTTTCTTATCGGTAGAGTATATTTTGAAATAATTGATTATTTGTTTCGGCTATTGCAAAATCACTCCCTCAAAAGCATAATATGTTATGGCTGTTTTTTTTCCCTTTTGGTCTATTTTAATCAGACATTAAAAATGTAGTTGCTTTGTTTCAATGTTATCAATTTTTCTTTCAGGGGTTGATTGTGTAGGCACGGTTCCTGCATCTCTTGTGACCTATGCGTCCATTCAAGCATTGCAGCCAGACCTAATTATCAATGCAGGCACTGCTGGCGGCTTTAAGGTATTTTGTTTTTCTACCAAATTTGCTCTTCGTCTTATAATAGAATTTCATTTCTGTCCCTCTGTGAGATGTTAATTGGAGAATCTGCATTACTGAAAAATTAGGATCCTCTTCTTAGAATGGATATTGAAAAGATTGAAGATTCAAATAGTGAATTGTATATAAATGAAACAAATGCACGAGTGGACTTGCACACAAAACATTTATGTATAAAGTATGTTGAGATGTTAAGATATTGTGTGAAGCATCTGGCATTAATTATTATGTATGACTGATTAATGGATGTTTTCAGGCCAAAGGAGCATGCATTGGTGATGCGTATGTCGCATCTGAGGTTGCTTTCTGTGATAGAAGGATACCTATTCCTGTGAGTGCTCCTTAGTTTCTTCATTCAAGCACTTGTCAATGTTTTCATGCTTGATTAATTGGATATATAGCCTAAGGAACTTGTTTTCTTAATTGGATAATAGGAATTCCTGTTCGCAATATTTGCTGATAATGAACAATCCTTTATCAAATACATTGCGGCAGGGTCCAAAACAATTGCATCTTTCTCCAGTGTCTTTAGTCATTGTTGAATGTAAATACCATGAACTTTGCTAGATCTGGTAGGGAGAATTGAACGTTTGTTGCTATTACGTGGCCTAGAATGGTTAAAAACATCAAACATTGGAATGGAATGGATTAAAATACTCATTATTCATTAGAAGATACACACTTGCCAATACCCCTTCATTCTTTTGATATCTACTTTTCTGATACTCCAAACATATGTGATTACTTGGAAATTTTCTACTCAATATTTATCTGTGGCGTGTATGTCTTCTACAGGTTTTTGATCTATATGGACTTGGCTTGCGACAAGCCTTCTCAACACCCAATCTTCAAAAGGAACTTAACCTAAAGGTAATTACCGTGCAGCAAAATTCTTGGACTCAGAAGCTTCCAAATCATTTGATAAATGCTGCTCAATAAAAAAATTTAATTTGGAGTTGTCCATTAGCTAGAGCAAATGCAGTTAGGCATCTGTCTGTAATTTATGGTAGAGATTTGCATTATCATGATTCATGATACTTTGCTTTCATTTTCTTTCTATTTAATAGCATCACAAATATCCACAACGGGATTTATAGTTTCCCGCATGCTACAGGTTGGCAAACTGTCTACTGGTGACTCTCTACATATGTCCACACAGGATGAAGCATCAATGGTTGCGAATGACGCTGTAGTTAAAGACATGGAGGTAACCTTGTAACTAAATCATAGCTTTCTTCGTAGCATATAAGATAAGGGTATCCCTACTTAGTGCTGTTGTATTCTACAGTCATTTTTACATTGCGTTAAAGCTTTTTTTTTTTCCTTTCCGAAAAACAAAAATTGGGTTTCAGGCTGCAGCTGTTGCCTACGTGGCAGATCTGTTGAAAGTACCCTCAGTATTTCTTAAAGTTGTGATTGATATAAAAGATGGTGAGGAAACAACTGCAGAAGAATCTTCGCAAAGCTTCGCAGCTCTTGAATGTGCGGTCACCCAAGTTATTGATTTTATTAATGGAAAGAGCCTCTCAGATCTTTGACACATTTCATTGAAACCTATTATAGTGATGAAATTTGACATGAAAAAAATGTCCCCTGGACTGCAATTATTAGGTATCTGCAGATTTTGGTAAGTTGTTATTCTAAGTCCAACAGAAACAGTTCGTAGTTGTGTCACTATAAATTAAAACTCTATTGTGCTGACTTAATAACAAGTTCTCTTCTGCTCTTTTATAAGTTGGCATATTCTTGGTGAACCGTCTGTTACCTGCTCGGAAGCAGTTTGAAGGTTTAATCCTTGTTTAGATGGTCATTTTCTGAGTTCTGGTTGTCTGAGGCTGTTCTTCCACAGTACAATGTGACTTGAATAAGCTCTATTTTCTTAACAATGCCTGGCTTCTGAAAATTAAAAATCAAAACTAACTTCAAATGGATTTTTAGTTTTAAGAACAAAAGTAACAAAATTTAACAGCAAATATTGACCTGAAATATTCTGCTCAACCAAATTGGTCATTGGTCCTTGAGGCTAGTCGATGTTTTTCAGCCTCACACTATGCTACATGTGGTGACCAAAAACAAAATGTTACATATGTAGGTTTTGTATTTGTAACATGAATTGCAGACATTCACGCATTGAGGGGTCTTGCAGATTCAATTATAATTACTTCTCTCAGCCAGGACATGTCAAACCAGTGGGTTTTGGTTTTATGATTCTGTGAACAGAATATAAGTGATCTCGGGACCAAAAGTATAGATACAGAAAATAAATATTTGATTTCAAATGTAAAACACCACCAGTGCAACAAATCTACATGAACAGCTTGCTTCTCAACCTCAGACCAACCCTTTATCTGCACCCTTAAACATAATCTACATGAACATCTTACTTCTCAACTAAACCACTAACCTATGTATAAGAATTGCACACCGCATGATGTTTCTCCCTATATGAAAATGTTTAACACCATATGTCCCTTGAGTTTAATCTAATAGTATGCGGTGGAACTGTATATATATTAACAGCCCAATAGTTGTTTTACTGCAAGGTTCAGAAGTTACAAGACCTCTTATGCTAGAGACATATCACCAAGTGTTTTGAAAGAGAGACCAGAGAACTACTAGACATGGGGAGTGAGCATGTTGGGCAGGGAGGTTCCATAATGAAGGCCAACGGCGGCAAAGCGACGATTTTGGCTCTTGGCAAGGCCTTCCCTCATCAGCTTGTCATGCAGGATTTTCTGGTTGATGGGTATTTCAGAGATACCAACTGTGATGATCCTGAACTTAAGCAGAAGCTGGCTCGACTCTGTAAGTCCATCAACTAAAGTTCTTTTTTATTTTTCTATTTGCAACATTGACACACCAATAATTGCGCAAAGCCATTAACCAAAATATGATCATATATTGTAAACTCAAGCTACTACACATATAGACTGCGCATGTGGATCTTGTGAAGGGAAATATTCTCTTGCCAAACCTTTTATCTGTATCATTAATCAGGTGAATGTTTTTTGGAACGTATGATCTATAGTAACAGTCTAACAACATAACATACTAGATATCTTGATAGAGCATAGTGTCCTATGTAATTTAAAGGCAACATTATATGATTTTAGTAATTCTTACATGGCAATTCACAGGCAAGACAACAACAGTCAAAACTAGGTATGTTGTCATGTCAGATGAGATTCTAGAGAAGTACCCAGAGCTTACAACTGAAGGCACACCCACTATAAAGCAAAGACTGCATATTTGTAACGAAGCTGTAACACAGATGGCAATTGAAGCTTCACGAGCTTGCATCAAGAACTGGGGGAGACCTACTTCAGATATAACCCACTTAGTCTATGTCTCATCCAGTGAAGCTCGACTACCCGGTGGTGACGTTTACCTAGCAAAAGGACTTGGCCTCCGTCCCGAGACTCAAAGGGTCTTGCTTTACTTCTCAGGCTGCTCGGGTGGTGTGGCTGGCCTTCGTGTTGCCAAGGACATTGCTGAGAACAATCCAGGAAGCAGAGTTCTACTTGCTACTTCTGAAACCACTATTATTGGCTACAAACCACCAAGTACACATAGACCGTATGATCTTGTTGGTGTTGCACTATTTGGGGATGGTGCTGGAGCCATGTTGATTGGCTCAGACCCTGACTTAATCTCTGAAAAGCCTCTGTTTGAGCTTCACAATGCCATACAAGAGTTCCTGCCAGACACCGAGAAGACCATTGATGGAAGGGTCACAGAAGAGGGGATTAGTTTCAAGCTAGCAAGAGAGCTTCCTCAGATAATTGAAGATCACATTGAAGGGTTCTGTGGGAGGTTGATGGGAGTTCTTGGATATGATAACAAGGAGTACAATAAGATGTTTTGGGCTGTTCATCCAGGAGGTCCTGCAATCTTGAACCGGTTGGAGAAGCGTCTTGATTTGTTCCCAGATAAGTTAAATGCCAGCCGACGAGCTCTGACAGATTATGGCAACGCTAGCAGTAATACCATAGTGTATGTGCTGGAGTACATGATAGAAGAGAGCAAGAAGATCAAGAAGGAACAGCAAGAAGGAGATGGTGAATGGGGATTGATACTGGCTTTTGGACCTGGAATTACTTTTGAGGGAATTCTAGCAAGGAACCTTGCTGTCTAAGTATAAAGCCAAATCTTAGATAGCTCACTAGAACTTTTATATCTGCTGTCATTAGGCCACATGAGGTGCTCTTATGTTTATGTAATTGTCTTTCCATTGATTTCAATTGAATATATAAGACTGAAGTTCTTAAAGTCCAACAATCCTTAAAATCAGTCCGAGTTTATTATTTTGTTTTCGTTCCAACCAAATGACCCAAAATCAATTTGTGATGATTGTTGTTTACCCTATAATCTGGAAATTCTTGCTTACAACAGGGTTGTACACGTGAGGTTAGATGCGAGGGTGTTGTACTCAAACCTTAGCTAAAGTGTCACAGGACAAGTGGGATTAGTAACCTTAATTTAAGGTAGGACCAAGAAAAAAGACCCAAAAATCGGACATGCAAAAATGAAACAAAGACCAAAAAATTGTGGCGGAGCTGGTGAAGTAGGCACTTCGTAGAAACAGGAAAGCAGTTTGTGGTTTGATAGTGCTGTAGGAAATTGAATATTGAACCAAAGAAAAGAAGCAATGTGCATCCACTCAAGTTGGTGGGCAGATGGCAGACAAGTGCTTTACACTTTGTCCTGCATCCATTGTTAAATATATACTTGAGCAAATTAACTGGATGTAGAAAGAAACAATTCTGTAGTAGTAAACTTTAGCAAATGTTAGCACCTAGTAAGAAAAGATGAAGCAACTCAGAAAAGTCATGTCTAAATTATAAATATAAATTAAATTCACTCCATCTCCAACTTTACAAACAACCCACTTCATCCCCAGTCATGATTTTTTTTTCATTAAAAAAGAGAACTAGAACCTTGTGGAGAGCAAAAAGGGTAACTTAAAACAACAATGACTAGCCACATGCCTAGCTAAGTTAAGTCTTGATGGCAGTGCGCTTGCAGATCACAGCAGAACTGGAGTGAACTCATACAACTCCAGAAGGGAGACGGAGGACTAGCTGCCCTCCAAAAACACTGTCAAACAAAAACATCCATAATAGGTAAAGGTTGAATGAAATAAAATATACACTTGGGGGAAGATAATTGTGATGCAAGTAAACTTGGCAAAAAATATAACGGATTGAGGCCCAACCTTTTGACATAGTAGTAACAGAAGTCTGCTAATATGAAAGTCTGAACAATTTCTGAAATAAGAACCATAGAAGGCCATAACCCGTAGCCCAAGGCTACAAGCAAGTGTCCGCGAGTATCTAATACCTGTTGGAGCAATAGATAAAATTTTATTAGCGGCAGAATGCAAAGAACTCATACCCTTTAACAAAACAAAAATAATCGCAGCAACATAACTCCTCTAAGATTTTGATCATTTAAGTGCCCATATACAGTACTACATAATTAGTACAAGTGCCAAAGCATGGACAGATGGACTACAAAAATCAAAATGTGAAAAATTGTTCTATACTGTTCATCTCATCATTAAGATGCCACTTCCAAATATGACACTAAAGCAACTCATCTTGAAACATGCAGAATGACCATTTTTTAAAATGCCACAAATAAATCAATCTAAAACAAAAGCAAACATATACAAAAATCAAACCTGGAGAACCCAATGGGCACAGCTGAGGAACCTTGCGACACCCAGTGCAAACACATAATGAGCTGTGAATGGCTCAACAATCTGAAAAGTACAAAAAGAAGATGAATCATAGGGGAAACTAGTAGTATGCATTCAAATTCGTCAAACCCATAAAAATACAAGTTTTTAATTCTATGAAATTAGACCTTTGTGTTCTGCATGACGCGCAACTGGGGCAGTACGGAAACAGCTTCCAGATACACACAAAATGCCCAGGAAATCCTGTTCAATAAATGATGAGACGTTGATGGATGAATGAACAAAGCTAATAGAGCACATGGTACCACCTGCATCAAATTAAAAAAAAGTAAGGATATTACTACTAGAAAGAAAGCAACTTCATTAATAGCAATAGCAAGCAACAATATAACTTCGGTCCAGAATAAACTTCACAATGCATCATGACTGAAAGAGGAAGTCAATCAATTTGCCCCCAATAATTGTCCAAGACGTAATAATGCAAACTGACAAGATCGTAATAAGCATTATTTTTCTTTATCAATTTGATCAGAGACTCAAGCAACGAAAACAGATAATGCTTTTATAATCTGCGTGAATTCTCCTTCATATACACACTCTTATTTGAAAAGAAAACAGTGATGAAGAAAGAAACTCACGACATAGTATATTGCAAAATTGTCTTTGTCCTCCATGTAACTAGACTTTAAGTTGAAGCGGATCATATAAATAACCCAGAGGGTCGTCACCAGCGTAGCTAAATCAAGCAGGGTGTGTATATCATATTCCATCACAAAACTGCAATACAATCTCACAGCTAAAAACATAGCTGTTAACTCCTGGGATTTGAGTGATAACCCTGCAAACAATTCCAATATTTCCCAATCAAAACATGAGTTTCATAACATAAAACATATTCAACAGGTTGGTGATTAAAAAAAAAAGGACAACTTAAAACAGAAAAGAAAAACATACCGGAGGTAAAACATGTAAAAAAAACTAAAACTTTAGCCTTATTAATCTTCTTTCTTTGAAGGATAAGCTTATGAATTTCTGTTCTAACAATTATATTGTCAAGCCAATAAATCCCAGATTTTCCACCGTTCATAACAATTTCTCATCAACCAAAAAAAACCCAATAAAGGATTTGCATGTGAAATTCCAGTCATCCTAATATTGAAGAACCCCCATTCGTCACAATAGAAAAGTCTGTACCAAAATCGAATCAACACTTTCCAGCATTCCTAAAAATTGCTCAGAAAGCCAAACAAAACCAACAAAGGGAAAACAAACAAAAAAACCCTAAAAAGTTCAATACTTTACCAGCACAAGTCTTCTCCTTCGTGAGCTTGTAGATTAGCACCATGATTCCAATTGAGTGCACAGCCTCAGCTGCAACAAAGAGGTTATCGTGATCGTGAACGATAAATCGGAGCACGACCAGAGCCGCCATGCCCGTTACGACGGCCAGAAAGGCCTTGACTTTAGGCGGCTGGCGTCGAACCCATGTCGATAAGGTGTGGATCGGCCTCTTCGGAGCCCTCATGAGGTTTTCCGTTGTTTTTCTTTCCCTTTTTTTCCTTCTCTGATTTTCTGGGCTCTTGATTTTCCCGGAAAGTGTGATGAGGTGGAGAGAAAGTGAGGTAAGTTATTAATGCGAGTAGTTGTGGTGCGGAACAGCCACTGTTAAGAGAGAGAGAGAGAGAGAGAGAGAGAGAGAGAGAGAGATTAGGACTGTTTTGCAAGGAAAAAAACGGATTTTGCGAAGGCAAACATTTTCTTCCGTGATTTCGGGTGGGTTATCCGGGCACCCGAATTAGATATCCGGACCCAAGTTTAATAAAAGAAGACGTACTACACCCGTTGCATGTCGGTTTTAGCACGCTTCTGAATTCTGATGTGTCGCTTGCACTGAACGTGAGAATGTGGCGTGTGGAGTGGATGACAAGGCAAGGCACCATTTTTTTTCTTTTTTTCATTTACGTTTCGTTGCTTACCACAGACCATTGCGTACGTATATACGTAATATAATAAATAATTATAAAACTATAAGTCAAAAAAATTTCGGTATCCAATCCAACACAAGTTGAAATTTGGAAATTCTATTTCTTGTTTTGTTTTGTCCAGAATCATATTTCAAAAAGAATTCTGCATGTCCAATAATTAAATATTAAAAAAAAAAAAAAGGAATTCTACATGTACAACATTTTATCACGGAGGTAATTGATTTAATACAAATTTATAAATAAACCCAATCCTAGACATGTATTTATAAAAAAACCCTAACACTATTTAAACATAGAAACACACCCAAACTCAACCCCAAAATCAACAATTGTATATTTTTTGGGTGTGTTTATAAATGGGTTTTGAGTGTGTGTAATGATGGGTTTTTGGTGTGTTTATAAAGTGTTTTGGGTGTTGGGTTTTTTTTATAATTTCAGCCCCCATTTTGGGTGTTTTAGTGAAACCCCCTTGATTTAACCCATGAGAAAGTATCAACTCTCTCGCTCACTCATATTATAATACGTTTATAATATATATGATAAATACATATATTATAAGTATATTATTAATGAATAAATACATGTATCATAAGGGGACTGTGACACCACGTAGAGGAGTATTTTTAGTTTGTGTTTTTTTTATAATTATAATGAGGATTTCTAGATTGACAACCAGAATTACCAAATCGGCAACCGATGATATATCACACACCAATCAGAATATGACACCTTGACCTTGTGGAAGGTTATCTTCCCAAAATTTGGTGAACTAAATTCCTGCTTTCCCAGCAGTTCTGAATGAAGGCTTTTTGGGGCTGACTAGTGCTCAAAAGTCTTACAATGAACAATAACTCCAACACAAAAGCAGGCAGCAAACAAATTGCTCTTTTTCATTAGTGTTTTAACCAAAATATGACTTTGGGCTTTAGTCTTTGTTAAAGGAAAGTCCCTGCATCAATCTCATCCCTACAAGGTGGTATGACATAATATGGTTTTCACCAGAGACGCACAGATGGGGGGAGAGAGAGAGAGCGAGCGAGAGAGAGAGGGAGAGAGAGCAAAAAAAAGGGTTCTGTACTAGGAAAAGACATATTACAAGCATACAAGTAGCTTATTTAGAATGAAGAAGCAAGAAGCTAATACTTCATTGTAGTTGGTCCCCTTCAACCACTAAACCGACAACCTTGTGCTGAGTTGGTCATAGGTTGACCAATCGAATTAGCAAGTCCACGAATTTGATCTCTTCATTGCCGGCTTCATCTGTTTGTCTTCCTCGAGCGCTATCATACCCAAATGAGACGGGTCTTCCAACAACATCTTTGCTACCAAGTACCCCGCTACTGACCAGGTCTGGAATTTACGGGCCTGCTTCCCAATGTAACGGCCAAGTTTCCCATCATAGTATTCAGGCCAATTGTCTTTCAGCAATCTGCTCTCAGCAAGTTCAATGGCACGTCGAGCAATCTGGGGCCGCCCAGTCTTGATGCATGCAGCAGTGAGAAGCCATAACAGCACTGTATCAACCACAATGACAACATGTAATTGGCAGGAAAATAAAGGAACACACTAAAAATAATTTATCAT